TACATTCTTCAAAGTTTTCAGTGAGGGGAACTTAAGCGGTATGCCACTCGAAAACTTCCCCCGCTCGTCCCAAATAACAAAGACTGAACTGCACTGACATCTCGTGACCAAGAATTTGCGTCGCTTCTGCTCATCCTATACGAGCTGCTTCTCAAAAAAACTGTTTGGGATGTTTTTATTACGGAGTTAATTTAAAAATAAATAGCTTCAAAAGAAAAATTCTAGATTAAGATTTCAAGAGTGGACAAAAAATAATGAGACACTTAATATAGATAATAAAGAGAGACTTGGAACGAGTTCTGACATGGAGAACAAATCTCATGATTAAATTATTTTGTAAATAACGCAGTGTCTGTATAAATAGTCTGTAAATAACGCAGTGGAATATTTCTCTGCTTGAGCGAAACTTCTTGCTTTGCATAATGGCCATTAAATTCATGCCTGGTTTTTTTACTTTGTGATGGCATCGCGAAGAATATAATGTAAGAATATACTAAGAAGTCTGAAACACTCAAATAATCTTTCTTTTCCGGAGTAGTCCAGAGTACCAAAATAACCTTTCTTGAGTACTTGAACGAGAACAATACTAGTATAGTATTGAACGAGAACAATAGTATACTAGAACGAGAACAATATTAGTAGTATTGAGTACTTGAACGAGAGCAATACTAGCAGTATTGAGTACTTGAACGAGAACAATACTAGCAGTATTGAGTACCTGAACGAGAACATTACTATCAGTATTGAGTACTTGAACGAGAACAATACTAGTAGTATTGAGTACTTGAACGAGAACAATACTAGTAGTATTGAGTACCTGAACGAGAACAATACTAGCAGTGTTGAGTACTTGAACGAGAACAATACTAGTAGTATTGAGTACTTGAACGAGAACAATACTAACAGTATTGAGTACTTGAACGAGAACAATACTAACAGTATTGAGTACTTGAATAGCAAGCATTTGATTCTTTACTCACGGTTATCTTCTGACGAAAATTCCAACATACCTGAAAAATAAAAATGTATTGATTATAAGAAATTTAAATGTTCGAATGATAATTTACTGTCGTATTAAATCGAGTATAGACTGAAAAATTTATGCACGAGAAATTTAATTACGTAAGAGTGATCTGATAATTGAACAGCTATGCTACGGATAATTAATTAAAATAAATAATGGTATGCGAAATATTACTTTATCGAACAAGGTCATCATGACACATCATTCAGACATGACTACAGGAATCACGAGACATTTAGAGGCAACATCGTACATAATTATGCAAAATTTAACGCAAGACATAATTTAGCATGAAAAAGTCATCAATGAAGCAAAATTATACTTGACGTTACTAAAAGATTTTTAAAATTAACCAGCATTTAGAATTCGACATTAGAAGATTAGAAATATCATTAGTGGAGCAAGCCGAAATTTATACGTTAATACAACTCAGAAAATATCTTAACAATAATTTCCGCATCAAAACTATTACATTTTTTCATTGAGGAATAACACCACAACAAATAAATCAACAAGGGTTCTCAGGCCGTGCCGGGTAACGTTTACAGGAAGTAATTCAATGTGGAGAGAAATGTCCGTAGACTTTCAGCACAATTGGCCCTGCTTCAATCTTCTATTGGGATACAAAAGGCTTATATGAAACTTTTTTATATGAAATAAGCAAAAAATAGCTCAAAATGCGTAACAATTTGAATCGTATTAAGCTCCGTTTGCTGTTTCGGTATTACTTATTTTGAATGGCATACCTTATATTTTATTGAATATATTTATTATCGATTATGAACCATTCGTTTGGCGTATGGTTCGTTTGAACCATACGCCACGATGACTGCTTCCAGTAATAATAATAATTACGTACTGGAATTGGAAACGATAGAAGTATTTTAATCGTTGAATTTTAAGTGAAATTTCGATCAGATAAGGAGTGTGAACACGTGAACATTATGAGTGAATGTACATTAAATCTGCAAGATAGGATATATTATACATATAATTAAATTTAATGTAAGAAAATTAATTAGCAAACGAATGCTTATTAAAATTCGAATGATTGTTAAGAAACAAATCAATACATGTAAATGAGAATATGTCCAGCATGAAAAGAAATATCAGAGCGAAATAAAGGCAATTATACAGTAGAAAAAACGGTTAAGAATGCAATAAACCATACATTTATGAAGCACAAAACCAGACAAAAATAACGGAACTGGAATAAAAGAGAGCAAAAGAGAGCTGGAGAAGGAAGAAGGGGGAGGGAGTGACTGGAAGCGGGGGAGCCTTGGGGGATTAGCACGTGCGAGCCACTGGCAGCGTTCACGCAACATTTTATCCCATACATAAAAATGGCACAAATAATAATAAATGTTGCTATTTCAGATTTATCAACAGTGAAATTTTTCTGATCAAATCAGCATGATGAGGCACTGGAATTTATGAACAGCATTTCTACTGAGCATTGATATGACAAGAAAGTGTTCAATAAACGTATAAAAAATACCGTCATATGCGTACGAAGGAACTGAGCGTGTGTTTGTACATGTGCTTTTGTACAGTCTGTTCGCGCGTGTCGGGGCGTTAGTACGCCTGCGTACTGTCATAATACGCATGAGACATGCACGCAACTTCTTCCAACTTACCGGGTTACTAATCACAACTCGCTGACTACTACCACAATCCATGGGCTGGAACTCACGGGTAACTACACACAACTCACAGGTAACTACCCACAATTCATGGTAACTATCCACAACTTACGCGTTACTACCCACAACTCACGGGTAACTACACACAACTCACAGGTAACTACCCACAAGTCACGGGTAACTATCCACAACTCAGGCGTTACTACCCACAACTCACGGGTAACTACACACAACTCACAGGTAACTACCCACAACTCATGGGTAACTATCCACAACTCACGCGTTACTACCCACAACTCACGGGTAACTACACACAACTCACAGGTAACTACCCACAAGTCAAGGTAACTACCCATAATTCACGGGTAACTACCTAAAACTCACGGGTAACTACCCACAACTCGCGCGTAACTACCCACAAGTCACGGGTAACTACCCACAACTCACGGGTAACTGCTCACAACTTACGGGTTTAACAGAAACTAAATGTGTTGATATTAAACGAAACTGTCGCGCCAATAACGCATACAGACAGGAAAAAATGTTCGTCAATTAACGGAACAGTCGGCAACGTCATTTAATGGACTAGTTGGCAACGTCATTTAATGGACTAGTTGGCAACTGCCAGGCGGGCCAGCTGCAGCAGACGATGCCCTTCTGCCTCCTCTCCCCAACCTTCATAGTACCCTCTTCCTTTTTTGTTCTATTCCACTTCCAATTACTACTTGCCATGTACTCATCATTCCTCACTCCTCTTGAGCTCTTTCAACATCCATTTCCAACCTCATTTGTACCTTTTTCTTCGTTCCCTTCCACATACAATATTACTAACTTCCATGCACTCTAGCCCTCAAATACGTTCTACCTACAGATCCTACTTTCCTTGTCCGAGTACAATTCGTTTTACTAGAATACTTCTACCTCAAATTTACCCCATTATTTCACTCTCTCCTTGAGTCTATCTACCTTTCTTTCTATCTCTTTTTCGTCTCGTGAATTTTCTCGTGCCCTTTTCTTCTTGGTTTTGAAAGCAGCGCCACAGGTTTTGAAATAAGTTGTTCGACCATCGTGAAACTCACGATCGTCGGACAACTCACGATCACTGACCAAAATATTTTACAAAAATTCTTCTCATTAAGTTGAGGATTGACAGATGTATAAAAAAACGAAGAAGATGAAGTTAAAAATTTTAAATGTAGTTGGAGAAAACAGTTGCAAGCACAGAACTGAACAGACCTCGAAGGCGAAATATAAGATTAAACAGGGAAAGAAGTATTAGGAAACGAATAAACAGAAATAGACACGAACTGAAACGCTAAGAATATATAAAATAAAAAGATAGAGAAGAAAAACCAGGAAAACACGACTATATACGGAAATATAATAAACAGGAAAAATGAGACAAATAAACAGCAGCAGAGAGGAGAAGCGTGGCCAATCTGTGTCATCTGCAGCCACGCGGACGTGTCTCCAGCGTCGCTGTGGCTTCCTTCATACGAACAGGCCCAACGGTGTCTGTAACTGCGACGAAGGTCGCAAATTTTAGATCCCACATTCACTTAGACTCACAGTCGTCAGGACCGAAATTCGTGGGCCTTCGGACTTGGATTCACGGTCGTCACGATTCAGAATCACGGTCGCTAAAACTGAGACGCACGGTCGTCAAGACACGGACGCACTCACGGTCATCTAGAGATTCTAGACTGAGACTGACGGTAATCAAAACTCAGACGCACGGTCGTCAAAACTAGGACTCACTGCCGTCCAGACTATAGGATTCACGGTCGTCAAGATTTACGGTCACGGTCAGCCAGGCTCAGGTTCTCAGTTGAAGAAGTATTTCATAAAATATGTAAAATAATTCATGAAACAAATACTGACTAACGGTGCATGCAGGTCTGTAGGAAATATGCGATTTGGGCATGGAATCTATTCAACGACATGCAGTCATAAAAATACAAACACCGAACAGTGTAGAATGATGAAATCTACCAATAAATGAATGATTACTTCATGAATATATGCATGTGTTCAGGAATAAAAAAAACATGAGAATAAATTAAAAGCATAATGAAATTCGACAATTTTATAGTTTGGAAAGTAATACCTAAAAAGACTAACCAAGCCAATTTAGAAACTACGCATTTCTAACAATGATCTCACCATCCAAGTACGATAAATGAAATTTGAGCGATATGGTATAGAATTGCAACGTGTCCAAGTAAGCCGACATCAAGCACCTGTAATTCGTTTGAAAATCATGCGTGAGTGATGATCGACTCTTCGTCTGATAGATCTATAGTCGGCCGACCCAAGAGTCGGCCGACAATAGCTTAGTCGTCTCTGAACTTTACTAATATAAAGCTTCGGCCTCGAGGGGTTGCCTTACCTGCAGAGTTATAGCCTGCGTTGGTGGAGTCCCTGGGAGGCTGAGGTAGTGACGCTACTGCAACAACAAAACCAAGGGAAACGACTCAGTATCAGGGTAAAAACTTGATCTTTATGCTATTGCTACCTAGCATCCAACCTACACTTTAGACCTTCACACGACTCGAGCTCTAGATCACCACAACAAAAAACGGAACTTGGCATAGTGCAACGATTGCTCTATCTTCCGATTTCGTTACATTAAATTACACGTGATTGATTTCAAGAGAACGTTTAAATAAATTGTAGGTTACTGAGGGTACCGAGGAATGACAAGAAAAATAATAAAATGTGAACATAAATGTGACGTACAAATGAATGGTGATCATGATATAACGGAATGAGAGAAAATTAAAGTGATTAATGAGACTTTGGAGTCATTCTTTGTATTAGTAAGAAAAATGTGAAAAATATAACTTTGATTAAAACACGAGGCCTGGTCTAGTCTAAAATACGAAACAACGCACATCACAACAAACATTAAAAATCAAATATGCATTTTAATGGATTATAACACTGGCCAAAATAACACTCAATAAATGGCATAGGCTTATTTACATGAGGTTTCATTAAAAGGTTGGAGTGTGACTCGGGAACTAGAATGAGTCAACGAGTCCAGGCATTTATTAATAATATGGTCGGCATGTGAAGGAATATCAGAATCTATTCATTGGATAAACGAGCTTAAATATATTTAATTAGGGATTAATATTCATTAATGAGGAGTCATGCATGAATAACTAGCCTAGATATTTAATACAAAGTAAGAAAATAATATATGGCGAAAAGGTTATCAAAAAATTTGTTTGCATTGGATCAATGAACACAACGTGAAGTAGATGCAGCTAGATTAGTGCCACTTAAGGGTTTAGTGCAACTAGATTACTAGACTAAGCTATTCCAGAGAAAAATAAGTTTACCGAAATAGCTACCATCAATGAAAAAAATGTAAAAATTGTTGAAGTGAATAATAATACTAAAGAAATTTAGAGAAGGCAACAGGCAAATTATCATTAATAAATATATGACTTCGAAATTTAGATTGAAGTCATGTTCATCTAATTATTAACCATTAGAGTTTACCTTACGTAAAGAAATGGAATTTAACTTGTAAAACTTTCATAGATGTTTAGAATGGAAATTTTTCTTGATAAATAAAAAACGTATATTGACTTTAAAATACTGATGCCGGTTGCAGCTTCAACAAACCCGACAATAAAAGGTTAGGTTGAAGTTAGGTAGATAGAAGCAGTCAGAACGCTACTTTTGAAGCGGTTCTATTTGCTTGTAGTTGAGTCGACGCAAGCGTAAATCTTTACAAAAGCTGTGAACTTCTTTTAACGAAGATTTCAATACACGCGGCGCAAAAAGTTCCAAGCGCACTGAAACCTAATGCGAACAAATATGAAAAATGACCAACCCAACACTTTGCAGCGGAAATTACTTGGGTAAGTTTGCATTGTAGGCCGCGGGGAGCGGTTCTAGGCCTACTGTAGCAGGCAGATGCGCTATCACGAGCAGCGCCAAAATCTCCAACTTGTGCGAAACGAAATGAAAAAAGTACAAAGGCTAAAAATTTGAATAAATTGAATGATGTTTATTAAAAAATTTTCAACCTTTTTCTCAAGTTATGCAGGTATGCAACAAAAAAAATCTCATACGAAGAGCTCGTCAAGTCTATACCAGAATTTTGGTTTAAGTTAAGTTGCGTTCGCGCACAAACACCAAAATAAGACCTCCACAAATTTAGAACTTTTTCAAAAATTATGGATCTGTATCGAAAAAATAGGAATTAATGCATCAACAATGATAGAAAACCCGATGATTTTCTTCTGTTCTGAGGTAAATTGAAAAGCCTCTTTTCAGTTAAAAACTTTTTTTTAGTCTCATGGAGATTGAAAACTTTAGTATTGCATGAAAGTAACCGTTTCGTTGGATGCGGTCACGTCTACCGAAGAAGATGCACAGCCCTCGGGCTGGATCCTCTGTAAACATGTCAAGTTATGAGTGGACGAGGGGAGAAGGAAAAGGGGAATAAAGGGTAGGGGAGTGAGGGGAAGACTGGCTGTCCGTCTCCCAGGAGACCATTTAAATGTGCAGAGCTAACAACTCCTAGCAAACACTGACATAAGGTGGCCAGTCTGGACACTGACAGCGCATTTGCAGCCACTGCCTTGGTATCCTTAGTATGTCCTACAGACGTAGAAGTCCAAGGCCAGGGTGAAGCGCCGCCTCAGTATACTCATGGTTCCTTTACTTCTGTACTTATTCATGTAGAAACATTTGGCTTTCTCACAGCCACTATCAAGCAAAGTTCCAGACGGAGACACTCCAGAAGCCGTAGTATCAAACTCGTCTGAGTACACATAGCGTCCTAAATACACGTAGCGGCCCAAAGACTAACACCGGCCTTAGTACAGGTAGCGGCCGATTTACCGCCCTGTGATTGGTAGGTTCAGCTTGAAAACCCGTCTGCGATTGGCTGACGAATTTGCAAACTAGTAACTATTTTTGATAGTACGACTGAGGGTGAACAGGGCGATCAGCTCCCTCACGAGACGCGCCGGGGCGCGCTGCCCGCCATCGCTAGGAACCACCGCAACTCAAGCACGAGCGATCTAAGCCTTCATTCTTCCCTTTATTTGAGACCAACGAAATTTAACTCATTAACCGTTATCTAATGAACAATAAATTGTGTCTATCTTATGCACATCACTTTTTTCTGTTACAAAGTGGCAGCGTAAGCGAGGCATGGTATAAGGCAGCAGATTTTAATTGCTTTACGGATTTTTATTGGATAAATTAATTTTAGAGTTTCTTGAAGCGAGCACGTTATTCATACGTTTTTTCGAACTTTCATCGGTAGTTCATTATTCGGTATACAAACACGATCGTGAGAGAAGGTTGCACGTCTTATTAGCAGATTATCAATATTGATGTTCTTGTACGATCGAAACGTTTAGATAAAGAAATAAATTACAATGAACTAATGAATTGTTCCATGAGAAGTAAATACGCTAACATAACGAGAATTGTGAATCTGTTCTCAGGAATATCCATTCAAATTTGGACTCCGAATGAACATTCGCTGTAATATAACGCACAGTTTAATCATTTCATTACTTCATTAATGGTTTATCTTTGAAAAACAATTAATAATGAATGAACTTTGTAAACTCCGTGTATGTAAATGCCGGGATAAATACGTTGCGTGGCAGCGATCTGTGATACGAGCTGCGCTGCGGCGGGCGCGTGGCGGCCGACAGCTGAGCGTCACGCGCATCAGCGGAAGCACCGCGTGGGGTAGGGGCGGGCACACGTGGAAGGGGGGGCCGGGGTGGAAGGGTGGGCCGGGGGTGGAAAGGTGAGCATGGGTGGTAGGAGGACAAGGGGAGAAAGAGGGAGAAGGGGTAGTAGGAGGACAAGGGGTGGTAGGGGGACAAGGGGTGAAGGAGTGAGAAGGGGTGGTTCGGTGAGAAAGGGTTGAAGGGTGAGTAGAGATGGAAGGTTGATAAGAGGTGGAAAAATGAGAACAGGTCGAAGAATGAGAAGGGATGGAGTGATGAGGAATGAAAGGGTGAGAAGTGGTGAAATGACGAAGAAGGGTTGGAAGGTGAGCAGGGTTGGACGGATGAGAAGGGGTCGAAGGACGAGTAGAAGAGGAAGTATAAGTAGAAGTTGAAAGGTTAGCAGAAGTTGAAAGATGAGAAGGAACGGAAGGATGAAAAGTGTTGAAGGTTACGCAGGGGTGGACGGGTAGGCAGCGCTGCAAGGTTGAGTAAAGGTAGCAAATGGCAGCTAGTGGTGGGTAACGGTGGGAGATGAGTGTCTGAACGAGGTAGTGAACGAGTTAGTGTGAGTATAAAAAGCTGGTACGATTGAAAAAAAAAACGTGGGTCTAGGCGGTAAAAGGGTGGACGTAGTTGGTAAAGGTGGACAGGGCAGGTAGAAGTAAGAAGGGGCGGAAAAAGTAAAACTTGGCTACTTAAGAGAAATGGTGGATTAATGAGGAAAATGTTGCATTGATATAGGGAAGGTTGGGTTGACGAGGGGAAAGTTGAATTTATGAGAAACATGTTAGGTTCACGAGAAAAAGGTTTGATTCAAGAGAAAAAATTCAAATAAAGAGGGAAATGTAGGTTGATACGATATGGGAAAGGTTGGGTTGATGTGGGAAAGGTTGGTAGAAAAAAAGGAGGGTTGAAGCGTACAAGGATGGGAAGGTGTGAAAGGGTGAGTAAAGGATAAAAAGATGGGTTTATAATAAAAAAGATGCGCACAGACAGGATAAGCGAGGATTAATAGTAATGGATATCCTTACATGGGTGAAGAAAACTCAGAGAGTTGGCGAATTGTTAAATTGTTGAAAAAATTGGTTCATCTCCAATGAAAATTGTTCATGAGCGCAGTTTATTACATTGCTAGTAATAAACTATTACTCTGTTGTGTTAATTTCAGCACTTAATTAGACGACTTTGTAACGAAGGCGAGGAATATAGGATGATTGTATGAACTGACGTTGAATAAATGATTCTAGACGACAAACAAAATGGTTTACGGGAATAAGAAGAAGTTCAGAGATTGCAAAAGAATGATGAAATAATCATGATGACATAGTAAATGCAAATGGGAGATGAATTACGGAAGGCATAGGTAGCTAAACACCGGAGTGGAGGGAGCGGATGTTCAAAGGGGAGAGGAGACCGAACCGACTGGAGGTACCCTGAATGGATGAGGGAGGAGGAATGGGGTGGATGTTATTCAAACCACAGGCGGAGGTGGTGGAGGGGGAGGGAAAGGAGATGGAGTTGATGATGGAGGTGGAGGAGGAGGGAGAAGTGGGGTTGCAGGAAGGCACGCGTCGGGGCGCGCGGGAACCACCAGATGTTGAGGCGTAAGAGCGCCTCGCGCGTTACGTGTTATGTTGTTACGCGAGATAAGAGTAATTAAAGCTTCAATTACAGCCTGGCAGCGTTAGTGAGGAATGTTATGAGATAGAAGATTGTAAAATCCTTTTGA